GCCCGCCAAACTCGGACTGTGCTGCTGCAGGAGGAAAGGTGTGATGCAGGAGGAGAAACAGGAAGACACGCTCAGCGAGGACACACCCGCTGACTTCCTGGAAGTGGACCTGGTTGTGGAAAGCAGCCCAGAGAAGAGTCCAGCTGATTCAGCATCAGTCTGAAATCCTCACACTCACCAATAAACACACGTACTGAAGGATACAGTGGGGTCAACTGGCTCGATTCACACGTACATCTTCTCCACATTAATAACATATATTACATCAACACAGTTTACATTCATGCGTTTGGAGCACAGCCAGTGTAGAGTCAGAGTCAGAGTCAGGTAGAGTCTTTCAGAAGGACTGGTGTGCTGCCCAGGCGGGGAACTGACCCCTAGTCTGTTACGTGGAGGGTAGCAGTTTTACTCATTATGCTCTACAAACCACTGACAGCAGTGAGTAACCTGAGAGACAAGCTGGGTTAACCGTTAAAATCCAAGCTTATAACATCCCGAGGCTTATTATACAGTTATTACACGGACTACAACACAAACTATCCTCAGATGTGAATAAAGCAGCGTTCACCCAGATTTTTAACTATTTTATGATTTAAGAAAGTCTGAAATACAGACTACACGTTTTGATATTCTACAGAAACTACAAGCCAAAAAAGGCCTACAAAAGGTCACTCTGAGCATCAGTGAAGGCGGCGTAGCGGCGCACAGAGTGACACGTTACAGCTCCATTAATAGTAAATAGACGAAATTCATGCAGAAACTTTTTACTGCTTAATAGAAATTTGGAACTGTGCGTTTTAAGGCCTTTTAAGGCCATTTAAGGTGTTAAGGTGTTAATATAGTATGTCTTCAATGGAAATTATGGTGAATAGATTTGGACCAATAGAAACGGTCCAAATTTACATGGAATAAAATCTCGTTACATTAACGTTCATTACAGTCAGCGTAATTGTGAGATCACAGATCATTTTCTTTTTGTATCGTGATGTATGTGTGAGTGAAACTCAATTTCAGGGAGCGTCTCTAAGCTAGCCGAGAGTGATACTACTGGTTAATATTACGTAGCCCCTCCCACTGGTGCGCGGTGACATCATCAAAATATCAGAAGACATTTTAGGGGTGGGACAAAAGTTATATTTTGGTGGAGGATTACAGAAACACGAGAATGTAGTGTTTAAAATCCTGTATGATGAGTTATGTTTAATATTTCTCTTAAAAAGTGCCGTTTTATAAAAATTCATATACATTATTGATGTGGAAATGATGTAAACGTTTGAATCAAGTACTTTCTACCCCACTGTCTTCTTCAGTAAACACATTCACACACCACAAAACCGCACAGATCAACTTGAACGATCCACCCAAAGACGGACATTCCCAGTCCCTTTTTTTTGGTGCCTCATTTTCTCACCACTTTTAATTTATTTTTTATTTTCTTTTGTTTTGGACCAAACGAGAAACCTCAGGCCGGTCAGCGCTGCCGCTCGGCCGCAGCGTGAAACGGTCTCTATTTATGCTGATTTGTCCGTTCCAGTGACGACGGGCCGTGTTGTGTCATTCGAGGTGAAATGTCTGTGTTCTTGTTTACAGCAGGTTGTTTTTCTACCTGTTTGTGGTTCATCCATTAGTGCTTAATGGAAACCGAGCTTGTTTTTAAAGCGGTGAGAGGTTTGAGTGGAGCCGCTGTGATGAAGCTAAAGTTTTCTTTGTGTTTGGAATTTCCCGTTCCACCTTAAATGGTGCCAGAATGTAACTGCTGCACTGTTTAAGGTGGAACGGTAGATTCCAGAAAGAGAGCTGGTGTGAATAATGAATGAATGAATAAGAAGCCGCTTTCAGCCTGTCGTTGCTGTGAGGTCATGACGTCCCGATGTAAACTGACCCCTCAAGAGGCGTAAGAGAGACACAACCACGGACGGGTCATATGATCTGCTCCAGCTTCACGTCTTCCACGTTCGTAACGCCGCCTCTGAGGAACTTTTCTGTACGAAGGACAACAAAGAAAACGAATGTAGCAAATGTGTGTTCATCCTTTATCGGGGGGACAAATGGTTCTCATTGAGTTCCTTCAAAGAACCGAGAGCTCGTCAGTACAGCAGCAGAGTAAGCTATGAACACTCCTGACTCACTCTGATCACACAGGGAGTGAAGGAGGCAGCGCAGATTTAACTTTAATTTATTTTTATTTCCAAATCATTATCAGACTTGAATCTGATAATGATTGGTTCTGACCTGAACCAATTAAGGCGCGTCCTCACCTGAAGACTTGAACAGCTCTGATCTTCTTTGGTTTGTCAGCCATGATGTTATGATTGCACTGTAGTTTGTCTCGTTGTTATGATTTATGGGCATCACTTTCTTTCTTTTTTAATATTTTTGTGTAATGAAACCAAACAGTGATGTAGAGTTCGCCTTTGAAATGCTGCAACTGCTGTATTACAGTTAGTTTTACTGAATTAGAATAAATTTCAGTTCTTGATTTTATGGGTTTCTGTTTTATTTGAGTCCTGAAGTTTATTTGAGTTTGAACCAAAGACTGTAATATGAGTATCGATACATCATATTGATTTATCAGTCTACTCAGGCTTTAGCAGAGCTCAGTAACCGATTAATAACAGATCACATTGATTTATCAGTCTACTCAGGCTTTAGCAGAGCTCAGTAACACTGAGATTAATAACTGATCACATTGATTTATCAGTCTACTCAGGCTTTAGCAGAGCTCAGTAACACTGAGATTAATAACTGATCACATTGATTTATCAGTCTACTCAGGCTTTAGCAGAGCTCAGTAACACTGAGATTAATAACTGATCACATTGATTTATCAGTCTACTCAGGCTTTAGCAGAGCTCAGTAACACTGAGATTAATAACTGATCACATTGATTTATCAGTCTACTCAGGCTTTAGCAGAGCTCAGTAACACTGAGACTAATAACTGATCATCACATTGATTTATCAGTCTACTCAGGCTTTAGCAGAGCTCAGTAACGCTGAGATTAATAACTGATCACATTGATTTATCAGTCTACTCAGGCTTTAGCAGAGCTCAGTAACACTGAGATTAATAACCGATCACATTGATTTATCAGTCTACTCAGGCTTTAGCAGAGCTCAGTAACACTGAGATTAATAACCGATCACATTGATTTATCAGTCTACTCAGGCTTTAGCAGAGCTCAGTAACACTGAGATTAATAACCGATCACAATGATTTATCAGTCTACTCAGGCTTCAGCAGAGCTCAGTAACACAGATCACATTAAAAATTAATAAAATACAAAAAAGTAATATAATGACATAAAAGTAACTTATATTTAATTTCTGTGTTCTGATTATATGCATTCAAAATACTTTATATATATTCAGTTACATAAATACAGGAAATATATATTCAACATTATATTAATTCATATTGGTTTGAACGGCACCCTCCTATGGTGAAGCTCATTACTGCAGCTTCAGCAGGGCCATGTGCTGAAATGAAAGCGCATAAATACGTGATTTTTAGGCCAAACTGAGCCTCAGTGCTGCCCTCTAGAGGAAAAACATCACAGCTTGTAGCCATTATTTTACACTCTAGATAATTATGAACAACAGCCAACAGTGCAGCAGATATTGGACATTGGAGAAACTCACAAAACAATAAAAATATATATTTATCTGAATTATTCAGTTTTAATGAAAAAAACCTTTTTTACTAAACATGCACAGCGACTCTTTAGCACCAATAATAAGATCAACGTGCGGAGCTGCTCTTTTGTGACTTTGTATTATTGCACCTGCAAGACAGACACAAAGATAGACAGATAGATAGATAGATGAACCCAAATCACTTATGACTGTATTTCACAGTGTTAATGTAACATTGTGAGTGAATCATAATTGTAGATGTGTAATTAAGATTTCAGGAGTCATGTTTATTTACTACAAGTTTATTTTAAAGGAGCAGTTCAAAGTGCTTTACATAAATAAAAGCAAAATAAAAACAGGACAGTAAAATAATAAGGGAGAAATAAAAAATGAAATGAATGAAAAAGGAGAGCTAAGTCTAAACAGAAAGTGTGAAAGATGCTGGAGATAAAAAGAAGAGTCTGAGTTTAAAGATGGACAAATTAGGGGCAGATCTGAGACCTTCTGGCAGCTGATTCCAGCTTCGAGCAGCAGGCGAGCTGGTTTAGTGCAGCCAGACGGATGTTTACGTTTCACTTCTTTGGCCAAACCTGTTCCTGCTGTATGTTGAACACAGTCTATTTACAGAAATACAGTTTTAGAGTTAAACAGGTGAAGGTTAACATCCTGCACTGCACTGTGAATCAATGTGTTACCACAGAATTTAAACTGAATTATGGACGGCTGATATTTTCATCAGATCATTTTTTATCATCATCACTTCTGAACAGCAGATATTATTGCTGTTACACTGTAATCTAACCAGTCGTTGGAAGGTTTTTAGCCAAAATTTGTATTCGGGCCAAAATTTCAGGCTGGATTTCAGGTTTAATTTGGATCTGTTAGTTCACCCAGGATTCTGACTGGGTCTGTAGTCTTTGGAGCTCTGAAGTGCTCACTGACCTTCAGTCTTTCCTCCTCACTGCCGAATTACATCACTTCTGTCTTTGTTTAGGAGGAAATGTTCACGGATCCATTAGAGCACTTTTTACGAGCGTCACAAAGCAGCTTCAGAGCAAATCCGGGTCCGAGCCCCAAATGAGCAAGCCGAGGGCGACAGTGGCAAGGAAAAACTCCCTAAGAGCAAGAGGAAGAAACCTTGAGAGGAACCAAGACTCAAAAGGGGAACCCATCCTCCTCTGGTCGACTCCGGATTTGCTCTGAGCACCGACACACAGTGTCTATGGGACCACAGTCATTTGGTGAGAGAGTGAAGTGAACCTGGGTGTCGTCAGGATAACTGTGATAGATGATTTTGTTTTCTGGCAGGATTCAGCCTAAAGGGAGCACCTAGAGACGCGAAGATAAAGATGACGGGGTAGATAAAGAAACTTAAAGAGGGATGAGGCGGCTTATTTCCTAAAGTAGGAGAACATCCTGGTGAAGATGGAAGTTCTCCAAGGCTTCTCCTTTTTGGAAGTCGCACTGTCGGCTCCACCTGCAGAGAGAAAATCACGTTCAGTGTTTGTCTACCTGATAACTGAAATGGCTGTATTATTATCTCTGTAATGCTTACTTTTAACGTTATATTCAGGGACATTCAGCTCAACATTTTTCACATTATTAAACCTAAACTATATATAAACTTGATTAACAGTGTAAACTTACTCATATCAGCAGTGCGACGACTCTGCAGACGGTCCTGATCTGAAGATCCAGCGTTATTGTCCTTTTTGGATTTCTGTGATGAGAGACGTTGATCATATTACCAACCTCGTAATCATTTAAGTCTTACCACAATTCAAAGTGTTAATGCTAACAATGCTTATAATATTCTGCTACTGATATAATGTAATTCATATTACTGGGATAAAATAGCTCAACATTAAAACTGTGTAAAAATTATTCTTTACCTTTTTGAAGATGTAAATTTTTGGCATCTTGAGTTTGAAGAACATGCTCTTGGACTTCTTCAAGCTTAGGTTCTTCTTCCCCTCTGTTTCAGGCACCTTGTGAGATGTACTGAGTTTTCCAGAGCTGTTCATTTCAGGTGTTTCTTCAGCATTTGAGGCAGCATCCCACACATCAGCTAACACATTGTCCATTACAGTGTTCACAATCTCTCTGGAGAACAGATCTATCGTGTCAGCAAACACGTCAGATGGGGGTCTTGAGACCTCAAAACTCTCAGGAGTGACTCTGAAGGGCATCACCAGGCTTGGAATATCTTCAGCTGAGGCAGAAGCTGGTCGAGGGGCAATGCAGGACATGAGCACACGTTTTACTGACTCGTCTGCAAATTCTCCAAGAAATTCAGAAGTAAAGTGGCGCTGAGGGTCAGTGTGGTTCTGCAGTTTTCTCACACCAACAACAGAGTCTGAGACATTCAGGGAGATCAGTCTGTCCTTTAGTATGATCTGCAACTTGTCTGCGAACTCCTGAACGGCTCTGGTCAAAATCAGGTCATCCACTCTTTTGGCCGCTGCAGATAACTCAGCAAGAGACATATAATGACCTGAGCCCTGTAAACCCAAGGAGGTCATCATGATGTCCACTAAAGTGGCCATGGAAACCCTCTCTCTGCTCTTTGGTCGCTCTTGTTCATCTGTAATCCTTACAGATGGTCCTTGAAGGTGTGATTCCTTACCTTCACCCTTAGATGACTCAGAAGGAGTCGGGGTCCCAGGAAGTGAGACAGTGTGTTCAGGTGACATGACGGGACGAGATCTGTCTGGACGTAAAGGATGTTTGTCCATGACTTTATTGCCCAACATGGACCTAATTAGGTCACATGTCAGCTGTGGTTCCTCTGAACTTTGATGACCTCTTGATAAGGCAAGTTGGTCTGTAATCGCCTGAAGAACCTCATCAACAGTTCCCCCCACATCGATGTCTGAAGGGTCCACCTTAGCTGCTCTCTGCCAATACGCTGCAGAAAAATCCCTGAGCTCGCTCAACGCACTGCTGTAAACACTGTACACAGTGGACCACAGGTTCTCCTCAGAGACATCAGAACCTGATTCCCTCCCATCTGAAGATTCAGACGGTGTCTCGTTAAAACCACTGGATGACGTACTGGAATGCAGACAGGTGCAAATTCCATCGATGACGGAATCGACGATTGTGGATGCCTTTGCTGAGCATTCAGACAGGCTTGGTTTCGCACTGGAATCTGTCTGGCTGGTCTGGGCACTCACTGAACGGAGAGAACCTACAAGGAGGCTCTCTGAAGACTTCAGTAAGATTTCACTTACTGTCTGAGCTGCCTTGGTTCGAGAGTCCTCACTCTGGAGTTTCTCCAAGCTCTTAGGATACGATACCTGTAAATCCAGAAGAACAGCAGGAATGTCGTCTCCAAAGGGTGAAGCTGAGACCTCTTGAATGTAAGCCATTATGTGGTCTACAAGCAGCTCAGCTGTGCGAGACAAATCAGGGGAACCTCGTCTACATTTTGCCTGGTCATCATCAGAACCCTCGGACTTAGTTATCGACTCCAGCTGGAGTAACAGCTCGTCCACGAAGATTCTGGCATATGAGGATGCATTTCTCAGAGTCTGTGCAGGAATGGAAGCTTTAGTTTGGTTCTCCATCTTGAAAGCCATCCTTGACAGTTTCATTAGGCTGGGAATTCTGTGAACGTTACGGCCCGGATCAGAGCCGATATCGTCACTAATCAATGAACTCCGAGATGACTTAGTCATGTCTACCAGCTCTGACAGAAGACAATCGACAAACTCCCTAATTGTGATGCTCATCTTGGGAGGGTAAGACAGTTCTGTCTCACTTGTCCTCTCGGGTTCTTTAGACTCACTGATGGAGCAGATCTCAAGAATCATGTCTTTGGCACATTCCTGAAGTTGTGCCTGATCTTCGGACGTCAGTTCCTTGGGTTTCTTGATCCTCTGCTCAACAGGCAGTGACGAATGACGGAGCTCGACTGACCCATGTGTGGGTGGCAGGAGCTCGACTTTATCCATCACATTGCTAAGAAGCTGGAGCATGTGAGAATCCTCCTTTACTTCAAGAAAGCCACCGATGGTCTTCAGGATGGCCTTCACTACATCTTTGGTGATCGTCTGCAAAGAATGACGTGAAGATCCTGGTCTTGAAAGGGAAAGCGTCTGAGGGTCCAGATTCAAAACTTCTCCAAGCTGTGGAACAATGATTTTGCGTGATACTGTGGTCACGATCTTCACAACGTCCATGATCAACTCAGAGATTTCGTCCCTTGTGAACTGCAAGCAGAAAACATAACGACAGCTCTCAGTCATCACTACTATTGTTTTACAGGGGTCGTCTGCTTTGGTTTTGACTATAAATTAAACAGTTTTGAACAAAAACACTCACCATTTGACGCATTCCATCCTGCATCACCTGTAATTGCCTGAAAGATTAATATAATGCAGAAAGACATTTTAGTGCTGATGTAACAGAGACAGTGACTGTTGTGCTAAAATGATCATCATAAAGGTCAACAAATTCATGAGTCGTGCTTATTGAACCACCCCTTTCTAAGAGAAACGCTGTGTCTGTTAGCTCTTTTGATCGCGTTATATTGGCTACCACCCGTTGCAGAATCAGGAATAACCAATCAGGATTCAGCATTGTTACCACCATGTTAATAATATTAAGACTCCAGGTTAAACCTTATAGAGAATATTTGGTCTCTTACTAAACACAAACTAGCTCTGCGATGTTCTTCAGCTGTTTGAAGCCGTCAGTGCTGAGTGGATCAATACTGACTCTCCTTTCCGTAAAAGACTGTCTGCAAATTTACACACAAAACTTCAACATTTAAAGAAATCAAAGTGAAAAGCTCTCCACGCTGACTTACTGCAGCTGAAAAGTGTAGATGTTTTATTTCTTATGCACAATAATGTTATTAATAGATATATTTGGTATTTGTTTACTTGTATATATGTTTGTGTGTTGTGTAAACATGATAGTGAATATGTAGAGTAAATCCTAGCTGGATCACTCAGTGCTGAGTACATACCGATCAGTCAGGCTCTGCAGGAAACGGGAGACTTCCTGAGACAAAGCTAAGTCGTCAGGCTCTGATAGAGAAGCTGCTGCTGTGTTACGAAGCTCTTCTCCCGCCATGTTAGACTGTCCTGAGAGTTTAAAACACAAAACACAAGAAATCAGAGAAAGAAATACAGCTAAACCTACCAGATCACAGCGTCACACAGAGTTACCACCTTCATCCCACAGCAGCCTTTTGTTCTAATAAGACACAAATGTTAATGTACTTTTGTCCTGCTGATGAAGTAGCATTCTCCACAAGGGGGCGCTATTAGCAATGTGTAATCAGTGTAATCAGTGTAAAATGAAACAGCTCATAAATATGTTAATGTATCTGTGTGTGATGATCAGAACCGCCCATTATTCACCACATCAGACAGAACCGTTCTACACACAGAACCCAAACTTTCACTGAAGCACATCTTCCACTTCTGACTGATATACAGTGACTGATCTTCAGGTCATTTCTGTGTCAGCACTGACCGACATGAGCATCATAAAAGCTCGTTCTACACCCTCCGCAAAAGGTTCCACTGGGTTCCACTACTGATACACACCATAGAAACACATTCAAACAGACATTGAGCAGCTGTGACTTATAATGGTGGAACTCTATTTGGAGCATTAGAACCATTTTTAAAAGGATTATTTAAGGAAACATATACAAGTTCACCATCATAGAGATTAAACAGAATAATAATAATAATAATAATAATAATATAATAGGTTGTGTAATACAGAATAACCAGCATAATAAACTGCAACATAATCATCACTACACATATAAAAATAACCATTTTATCAGATGGTTCTATGTGAAGAACTCAGATTTCTATTCATTATACTAATTATTAAATTCTGTATCTCCATCCAGGTTCTTTTTCTCTACTATAATGTTCTGTTCTGGCTCTCTATTTCTATTATAATTATTTATCTAGATTCTGGTTCTTTTTCAATAGTCTGGTTCTTTTTTTAATAGTCTGGTTCTTTTTTTATGTTCTGGTTCTTTTTCTCTATTCTGGTTCTTTTTCCTCATGGTTCATTGTCTTGATTTAGATCTTCATTTTTTAATTACCTTCTGTGTAAATAAGTTTAAAACTGTACTCACTTTTTATCCGCTTGCGTACGAGAGAAGTTCCACGCTGTTCTACGTGAGAACACTTCGGGTTCTAGATAAATATCGCACGTCCGAACCTCACACGCTCAACTCACTGACTGAACACGAGGCTGGAAACTGCAGCTATTTATAAGAAGGTCCCGCGCTCTTTATGACGTCATCCTTAGCTGCTCGGTAACTATGGCAACCAGACTTTACTATATACATATATATATATATATATATATATACACACATAGTACTCTATCTCTCTCTCTCTCTCTCTCTCCAGTGCTCTGTGTAGCTCATATAATAATGGCTTCTCCATCCAAACAGGGCGATACAATAGAGAGTGATTTGGGATTCAGCCAAAGGCTGCACGACTTCTTATTGGACATATAATTCACTATTTCGGTGTAGATGTCCTAGTCTGACCCGCCCTACGCAGGGAGCATGGAGCCATTTGAGACACAGCCTGTATTTCTGTTGTTGTGAGCTGATCTTTATTAAACTTCCTGTCTTAATAAAATATCATCGTTCTGTTCATCCAGAAGCTGCACGGTTTCACTACTTATCTAGAACATGCACGGCTTTTAACCTTTCCGTTCCACCTTAAACGGAGCCGCAGCTTCACTCTGCAGTTCATGAATGTCGGACCGTTACTGCTGCTCGATTTAAGGTGGACCGGAAAACGCGAGTAAGAAGCTCATTTCCGCTTCGTGAATTTGCGTCTCTCTGCTGAGAAGAGCAGAATAAACAGACCGTTATTGATCAGTTAATTGATCAGCATCACAGTTTAAACTCTTCATCCTCCTGTTTTGTGACATTGGTGGTGTCAGAGGCGGTTTTAGGGTTTGTTAAACTTGTTTGAGTTGTTGTTGTTCATGCTGGCTAACACGTCGGCTAGCTAACGCTAACTAGCTCGCTAATCTCCAAAGCGAGAAGTAACTACGGGCACTTTTAGGTCTCTGTACTGGATTTTTGGATATATGTTCACCTTTTGAGGCTCATAAAACATTTTCACATGTATGAAGCATAAAGTGATGTAAACAATCAGCTATAAACCTTTTCTCCACCTGTGAATCATCAATTCGGGCTTTAATTAAGGTTCCAGAGGTCAAGTTCAGTCAGTGAAACTCTCCATTTAACATTTGGCGCTGTTACACTTTTCAGACAAGAACAGTTTCCAAATTAACCGAATGAGTCTGAATTATTAAAGTTAGTTCCAACGACTCAAACGCGTGTAAACAAAACGATCCATTCATAGATAAATAAAGTAGTTTGAGATGAAAGTGTGTCGCTGTAAAGCTATTAAAAGTGGTCCGATGTCGCCACCTGGCGGTTATTCAGTGTAACAGCTTTTCCCAAAAGCAGCACAAAGGCGCATAAATGGCAGAGCGAGCATCACACTGAACGCTCTCTCTCTACCAGTTAAGACGACCTTAACACTAAGGCGCTTTCAGGAAACTGGGCCTTGATCAGCATCCTTACACTCTTAAAACAGGTTCTTCAAGGGTTCTTTAGTACAGACAATGATTCTATATAGAACCATGAGCACTCAAAGCTTAAATGGTTCTTTGTATGGTGACATAGTTTTTCAGATTGATGGAGAATGTGCTGTGGATGGTTCTATATAGAACCTTTTTAAAAAGGGTTCTTCTATTGTGACAAGCCTGACATCGTAACAATAGAAGAACCCTTTTCAAAAAAGGTTCTACAGCACATACTCCATCAGTATGAAGAACCATGTCACCATACAAAGAACACTTTAAGCATGCAAAGGGCTCTTGAGCTGTTAATGCTTCTGTATAGAACCACTGTCTTTATTAAAGAACCCTTGAAGAACCATCACTTAAGGTGTGAAGAGCAGGATTTAGGGAAAGTAGCCAAAACCTAGCAAAATTTTTCAAGCGAAATCCGCTGCCATAAACTATGCTATGTAATATATACATTACATATATATATATATATATATATATATGTGTGTGTGTGTGTGTGTGTATAAAAAAATGCTACGATATTCATAACAATCTTCCCTAAATGACCGAATAAGCCTAATTTTGCAGAAAATGTGAATATACTCGTTGGTCATCAGGCCCGCATGCAGGTCAGCTGACCCTTTGCCCCATTAGTGACCCTCTTTGAGGCATTAGCTTTATCCTACTCACATACTTTGCGTTTCACAACAAACCACTCACCAAACCCGCCTGCAGAGGCCTGAGGGCTGTTTTCCAACCTTTTACTGTTCCTTATAATCCATAACTCCACATTACTCATTAAAAAACAACACTGACCCCTTCAAAAAGGAACAGCTGGACCAACCATGCCAACATGGTTTATAATGGATCATAACTAGCTGTTACAAGAGCAATGTACTAAACCTTTAATACATTTCTGGTATATAAATGTATTATTTATTTATTTATTGCAGGATTTCTGCTTAAAACCTTTTCAGAAACCTATCTGACACCAGCCCGCTTCATGATCCTTACTAGCGCTAAAAAGGCTCAATTAAAAAAATTATTAATTTTCTAATCTTGTACTCCTTCTTGTAATGTAGACACAATACAAAACGTGCTGAATCCTGAACCCCCAAAACATTTTAAGGACTACTCACTTTCAAATAGACCAAACATGCTAACATGGCTTATGAGTGGACACCATAGATATACATACCTAGATGCCGCGTTGGGTCCAGCCAGGCACGTCAACGGCACCGCCATTTTTGGGCGGTCAACATCGCTGCTGGACTGCATTTAGTACCATTACAGAGCGGCAGTTTCAGAAAGACACTGTCCAAAATTAGACTATTTCAGGAATATCACACTCAGAAAGTGGGATAGGATTATATAACGGGGGGAACTCCACGCTCATGTCTGTGTGGTGTTTGTGTAGATATGGCCGTGTGGTTGGTGAAGCACAGAGAACCTGTTGATGTGATTGGTTTTCCTCTGGTTTTATATTAAGCTGATTTCATTTAATAATCCTTCCTCTCTTTAATCCGTGTAGATATTTATAATAGATTAGCACCTTATTACACGAACCTGAAGTTAGGTTCTTATTTTCCAGCTTCTTGTTCAAATTTTCCTGTTCCACCTTAAATGGTGCATTAGCCAGCTTTTTGTTCCAATTTCCACGTTCCACCTTAAATGGTGCAGCTTCAGGCACTAGAAGGTGACTGCTGCACCATTTAAGGTGGAACGGGAAAACAATCTGGCGAATAGGACGCCGACTTCAGCTCCGTCCTTCTGTGTATTAAGATTATAAGTGATTCACACATTGATGGATTTGCTGATGTGTCTGATTGTGTTTCTCGCGCTAAACTCGGTTTTTATTGTCAGGTGCAGACTGAATACTTTCCTGCTGGTCTGGACGGCTAATTAGCCCGATCAGTTATTAAAGTAATAAAAGCTACCGAGAGCAGATCCGTGCAGCCTGGATTAATCTGTGTCTGAGGATTATAACTAAACAGATTTGGTGAAAATCGGTTGAGTATTAATGAAATTGTGGCTGATTTAATCCTGAGACTCTTCGTCTCTCAGTACAAGTGAGTCTGTTTACAAGCGGATCTTGACCGCTCCAACATGGCGGCCGCGCAAACGTATCGCCTCACACAGAGAACAACAGACAACGCGGCATCTAGGAATGGATATCTACGGTGGAAGTTAGTAGCAACCAGTTAGCATTGTTACTGACTATATGACTTAATCCACAACATTAGCATATTGATAAAACTTTAATACATTTCTAATTTTAACTGTTCCTCTGAATCAATTCAATTATAAAACCTAGGTCAGACCTCACTCACCCTCAAATCTCTCACAGTAAAAACAAACAGGCTAACATGGTTTTGTTACAGGCGTAATGCTAACTGGTGCTTACATGGTGTAATTCACTGTTAGCAACATTAGCATTTTGTTAGAACTTTAATACATTTCTAGAACGTAAATGTCTAATTTTGACAGAATCTTTGCTTATTAACCTCTTATTCTCCAGGGTATATTTTGGTTTGTCCATCTGAATTTACATGACCAAATCGTAAGGCAGATTATTCAGTAACTGCATGAAATAAATGTAAAGTTTTATTTTATTCTTTTTGGTAAAAGCTCCCCTCAAATTAACAGAAAATGTTTTATGATCATAAACATATTGCTATATGCTTACAATTTACTGCTGAAAGCCAAAAATCTTAGACGCTCTTTGTATTATTTTAGAAAAATAATGTTTACAGAGCAGATCACTGAAGAGACGCCATCTGTTTATAGTTTATAGTCCTGATTTGTGGAAAAATGGGTCGACTTTCAGTAGACAAAAAATTGTGAGTTCAGCTTCTTTTATTATAAGGGTTTAAAATTACATCACCCATCTATTTGACTGGAGAGAAGACAGTTACAGCTCTCATACGACCCCCACCTTTAGAATGTAGCTTATGAAATATGAAAGTTATGAAGAATATGACGAGGGGCGTTTTGGAACCACCGGTGGTCCCAAAGAGTTGAAAAGGATTAAAAAAGGTCCTCAGAGTCGTGGCCTGCTAAACACTCATTTTTAATGTTTTACTGCTTCTTTGAATCCAGAAAGAATTCAATTTCAAGTAAGCAGTGACTTTAACCAAACACGCTAACATGGATATGCTATTCACATCCTACTAACTGCTTATACATTCATTAATTTAGCAACATTAGCATTTAAAACTGTTCCTTAGCACTTCTGGCAGTTTAACTCTTATTTTAATAAGATTTTGTTTCTTAAAACCCTTTGAAACCATAAAATCCCCAAACAGGCTAGCTCTGAAAAAACAAGACAGGCATGTTTTGAAAAATGTTTTATTTTATTGAAGGATGGAAAAGGGTGAGAAAGCAGAGGTTAGACTGTACATGGAGAGCGTTTCAGTATTCTGTACTGACAGGAAGCCAGAGCCTTGACATTTTTTTCTTTTTTAGTAGGATTAGAAAATGAGGATTTAGAAAAAATCCACATAAGGCAAAAAAATTTTGAATCATCTAAATACAAAATTTAAAATAAAAATAGAAAAAAAAGGCTTGGAAAGGTCCAAGGCATTAAAAAACAGGAGGCACTAGAAATCTGAGTTTCAGGCCTAATCCTCTGCATAACTCTAAATGTTAAATCAGCGTACTCGATTTTCCGGGCAAAAAGAGGAAAATCTTAGAATTTAAGCAGTTTCTGATTGCGTTTTTTTTTCCTTTTTCCTTTTGTTTGCAATATTTCCAAAATGACAGTAACTCAACCCCATTTTGTTTCATACACTGTTTTAACACATTTACAAAGATAAACTACGGCAAAACCTGCATCGTGACTGTGACGTTCAGCGCTGAGACGTCAGTAAAAGTCGTTTTCTTTCTCACAGTGAAGACAGGCACAGAAATGCAGGTTAATTAAAGTAGTGTATCTGTGTCTAAATTACAGCATCGCTTTCTTTTTTTTTCCAAACCTGCGGCCTCGGCACACGACTACAGTGAAAACTCTAAAACGAGGCACGTGTGTGGTTGCTGAAATATCTTCGCTCTCGGCGTTCCGGCCTGCTAAGCAGAAAACGTGTACGGAAGCGCAAGGCCAGTCACTTTCTGTTTTGGTTAAAGAAAAAAAGCATTAACAGTCTGGTTTTGGAGGAGATTTAGCTTCCCTCACAGTTACGAGCCACAGAATAACAACCTGAACAACTGAGGCGCGTTCAAAATTCAGCTAACACGCTAGCAGCAAACCGTTCCTGTTCAGCATTCCAACTCTCTCCGAAGCTTTTTGAAGATATACATCATTAAGTTTCAACCTTGTCTCTATTTACCGCAAGAGTAACATGCTGTCAATCAGCACAGACAATAAAGTCAACATGTGCCTCTTAACAGAAAACATGCCGACTCAAAACTCGCCTATAATGAAAGTCAATGGGCAGCTGCTGGTTAGAGATGTTAAGCTGAACGTTCGTTTGAACGAGTGCCGCATAATCTGTCGCTTGTTAATGATTACGGAGATACAGACCTCAGCTCTGATGTTTAAATAGGCAAAGGAGCCTCTAAATAAATGTTTTCCGGTTTCTGGGGATCGAGGAAGGTCACTGTGGTTGTCGTGGGCTGGTCTAGACAAAAGTCCAGGGCTGAATTTGTTCCCCGGTCCAGCCCTGACGCAGGCTGTGCCACTTCAAGGGTGTAACATGTGGCACGCAGCTGCAATATATCGCAATTTGTCCGTATCGTGCAGCCCTACGTTGCGGAATGTTCGGACTTGCTAACCAACATCCTACCGTTTCCCAAACTAAAGCCATTCGAAAACCATTCGGATCTTCGTGCTAATACATGCGTCGAACTTTATATCAAAACAAAATAAAACAAAACACTAACGGCTCATAAATAACGTCTGCTGCTTCGTGAAATCTGAAGGCACCTTTCCTCAGAAACGTCTAGCTGACCTCTCGGGGTTCGCCGATAGCAATGATTGGCCGCGACTGTACAATAAAAGCAGGAAAAACACATCAACAACAGAACCTCATACAGTTTTAGAAACAGTTCAGACATTCTCACAGGCGTGCTGCGGCCGGCGGCTTGTGGCACAAGCGTCGACTCAAACAGCTGAAACTCAGCTGAGGTGGAAACAGGATCATTAGCCTACACAGTTAGCAAAGGGGTTCTTTACAGAAAGAGAAAGGCTCTGTAACTTCTGGAACATTAAAAAAAAAAAAAGAAAAAGAACCATATTCAGCAGGTTTTCCATCATGGAGAAGAACCATGTAGCCAAGCAAAGAACCATTTAGGCATGAAAATGTCTCTGTGAGTATTCATGGCTTCAGACGTCATCATTTTTCCTTAAAGAACGATTCAAGAACCATTTTGTTGGGGTGTAACTGCAAAATGCTAATATAGCATTAATTCTATGATAAGCATTTTGCTATGTTGGCATAGGGTAACAATGCATAGGTTCCATGATTAGCATCCTTCTATGTTATCACAGCCTAACAGCATAGGTTCTACGATCAGCTTTTTGCCATGTTAGCACAGGCCAATACTGCACAGGTTCCATGATTACCATTTTGCTGTTAGCACATGAACAGCACAGGTTCCACCATTAGCATCTCGCTATGTTAGCGCAGACCAATATCATTGGTTCCACGATTGGCATTTTGCCATTTAAGCACAGGCTTCTCGTTAACACTTCGTAAACTCAGCCTATCGCAGTCTAGAACCAAAAACAAGCATCCATCTGAACTCTGAGCAGTGCGTGTGCTGCTTTAGCACTTGGTTGGGGCACCGACTGGCACACAAGGAAAAAAAAAACACAAAAAAACAAAAAAAACAAACAAAACCTCTCCTTTCACGAGCCTCCTGGGCCTCCGGCCAGAGACATGAGGCAGTTTATAGCCAGACAAAGAGCTCTCGGGGCGGCAGGGCCTTCGGCTGGGGGTTTAAACTGCAGCCGTCAGGAGCCTGAAACAGTGTCTGCATGCATAGATGGATGTATAGGCACCATTCACTGTGGAGGTTGCCACACAACCGGGACGATCCAGCCAAAAAGCAGCAGCAGCAGCAGCAGCAATACTGAATGGGTGAGAGATGAGTGAGCTGGGAAGATACGAGGTGGCTCTGAGTGAGCGTGGAAGAAGAAAAATGAACAGCATCAGTGTGGGTTGCATACGGGTTAGAAAAGAGTGAGATACACACTATACTCTTAAAAACACCCTTCACAGAACAGTATACGGGGTGGACACGGCACTATACATCAGCTATAAACAACGTCTGACGTGGAAGGAAAAACTTCACAAGGCGAATTCCATCCCTTTTGCATGTGACTGGCTTAGAACTGTTTTAACAAGGGGTACCTTTTACATTTTTGGCACTTGTGAATTAAAGATGCTTACTTTTTTTGTCACGGTTGATTAAAAATGAACAGGGTCAAAAAGTTTGAAGATGGTTAAAAGAATAAAACATTAAATAAATTAAAGACACCACTTCCCCTTTTCCCTGACGGACACGCGTCAAAGCAAAATCTAAAAAGAGGAATCTTGCTGACGTGAAGGAAAACGGAGCAGGAAAAAAAAAAGGCCGACGTTAGCAGGTCAGCAAGACAAATCACTGATGGACAGTGTGTGTGTGTGTGTGTGGATGTTGCTGAAGGTTTTAAACGGTGAAATTTTGTCAAAAAAAAAAAACAACACAAAGTGGTCGACATTCAGCCCTGAGTTTACACCATACGTTCAGTTTAAGTGGTCTGACTGTAGAAACATGTGCACTGTTTTTCCAATTTCTAAGTAACCAGAATCCATCAGTGGTGGCAAAAAACAAACAAAAGTAAAAGTGTAAACCTTTAAAAATATAACTTAAATTTTACAGGTAAATATATTCATGTATCTATATAAAAACAAGACCTGATTAGGAACCTACGTTAAAAAAAAAAATAATAAAAATAAAAATAAAATAAACACAGCCAGGCAGGTATTGATGACAAACTGTGAAAGGCTCAGAAACACTCCTAATTTTTTTAAGGAAAAAAAAAAACAAAAAAAACTCAAAACGAAATGTTAAAACAAGTTAAGCGTCGCATCTCTTTTAAAAAACCTTCGCTTTATCGCTATTTGGTCAGTAATAAAAGGCTCAAAAGGTGAAATTAAGGACTCTGATATCTCCCCACTTTCTCTCCACTGTATATCGGTTAGTAACTTGGAAGAGAGGGGGTGGAAAAAAAAAACATTTTTTTGGCACGCACCTCTTCACGGCAGGCTGAATAAAGGCAGACAGGAGCGTAGAATCACACATACATGCGCGCTTGGGCGGCACAATTTACCATTTGTTAATTATTATTGCCATATCAGCCTTCGCAACAGTGATACTGCATGTAAATGAGATGCGCCAATCAGTGAAGGCTTTGTTTCTACGAGCATCAAAATAATTTCGCTCTAACCGCATCACTTCAAGGGTTAACCAATATAGTTTCAACACGCTGCAATTGCAACGTGTAACAATGTAACTGCAAATAGAGTAAAGGGGTCAGAGTGCCCCCTGCTGTTTGCGTTCAGGTTACCGATGAATTGGAGGGGCTGTTAGCCGTTTAATTATATTTGATACTGTACTGATGTTCAAAATGACATGTTTTTTAAAAAAAATAAAATACTGATCGCACATCCCACGAAGCGGCGCCAGCACCAAGCTATGGGTTTATTTTTGCGGTTCTAATTACAGTGTGAAATGTTCTGCTATTAAAGTCGAATTAAACGGTGCTGCGCTCTTTTCGTCTTGAAATGTTTCACAAAAGTTCCAGCTTCAAGTGAGTTTCGATTCAAAAATTTTCCCCCATGGCGTAACGAACGGCGATTTGAAATGTTTTGGACGCAACCAGCAGATGGCGCAGTTCTGCACTTCCCCCTCCCCGTTATTGTGTTATTGTATTTCGTCCATATTGTGCAGCCCAAAGATGCGCAATACTAACACATGCGCGCGCATTCCCATCCCTAAACTTGACATCCACGCCGCGGCCACGCAGCGGTCAGCGACGGACACAGACCCAGTCATTCTGCGCCTTCTTCACACAGCTAAGCCCTGTTCTCCCCCACAAAACAGACCCCAGAGCTAGTCAGAAAGGTTACTGTACGGAGTACAAACTTGCAGAAGAATGGGGGGCGGAGGGGGGAGAGGAGGATGGGGAAGGTCCATTCAAAAAAACAAACAAAACCAAAACGAAAAACGACGTTAAAGGAGCCAGAAGGAACGCAGCATCACTGCAGCATGAGCTGCTTGAGGTTGTCGTGCAAGATGGTGTCCTTGACGTCGCGGAAGACCAGCCGAATGTTCTCGGTGTTGATGGCGGTGGTGAAGTGGTGGTAAAGGGGCTTCTGCTGCTGGTCTCGCCGTTTGTTCCGGAAACACGTCACCAGGAAGTTCTTCACGTCCTCCAGGTTGTGCGGGTCCCCAGTGAACTCTGGGAAGTAGTCCTTGATGGCCACCGTCTGGACCTTCTCCTCCAGCAAGTCTGTCTTGTTGAGGAACAGGATGATGGAGACGTTGCTGAAGACGCGGTTGTTGACAATCGTCTCGAAGATGTTGAGCGACTCCATCAGCCGGTTGGTCTGACGGTCCTCCATCAGCACCTGGTCGAACTCGCTGGACGACACCAGGAACAGGATGGAGGTGACGCTGTCGAAACACTCGAACCACCGCCGCCGCTCTGACCGCTGCCCCCCAACGTCCACCATCTTGAAGGGAACGTTCTTGATCTCGAAGTCGTACTCGTGGATGCCCTTGGTGGGTTTGCGGGCCAGCAGGATGTCCTGCTGACTGGGCAGGTAGTCCTGAGGAGACAGAAACAGAAAACATTAACCTCTTAATATAACCAAACACATCATTTTGGTCCTCATAGCTGTTATCAGATGAACTAGGACATCGCTGGCTCTGTGTGCCAAGATACACCAATCAGGCATAACATTCTGACCACCTCCTTGTTTCTACGCTCATTGTCCATTTTATCAGCTCCACTTACTATATAGGTGCACTTTGTAGTTCTACAGTTACAGACTGTAGTCCATCTGTTTCTCTGCATACTTTGTTAGCCCCCTTTTACCCTGTTCTTCAGTGGTCAGGACCCCCATGGACCCTCACAGAGCAGGTACTGTTCGGGTGGTGGATCATTCTCAGCACTGCAGTAACACTGACGTGGTGGTGGTGTGTTAGTGTGTGTTGTGCTGGTCTGAGTGGATCAGACACAGCAGTGCTGCTGGAGTTTTTAAACACCTCAGTGTCGCTGCTGGACTGAGAATAGTCCACCAACCAAAAAGGCTGAAAGTATAAACACACACAGCTGGAGGACGACAGACTCTGTTACTCCATCACACCTGACTCAGCTCATGAGCTCATTAGGGGTTTGATAACTACACAATAAACTGACTCAGGAAAAAGAGCATCATATTTCACTCAAAGTGTTTAGATAAACAATTCTGCAGAAACAGGAACAAAGGAATTACGCTGGATTTCTTAAAAACGCTGATTAGCAAAAACATCTGCAACAGCAGTGATTTTAGAGATGGACTAACACAGTTCACTGAAATACAAGGGGGCAAAGACTTCCTCCAACACAGAAAACGTGATGCTACAGAGACACGGAGATACAGAACGACAGGAAAGTCGCTGTAATAATTAAGGCCTGAAGGTAAACAGGATATCAGAATCATGATTATGAAATATCATATAAAAGGAATCAAATTTAATACTTTTATGGTAAACAGCTTTATTAGCTTATCCACAAATTCTGTCAGTCAATATCAAATTTCAACACTAAGTAGTCAGTCTTATCAGCATCAGTGAGGCTATAAACAGGCTTGCTCCAAAACCTGGACTGATGATCGGCTGTCTAAATAACATTTTGTAAGGATGTTATTAACAATCATTAATATTAGTCTGTTAAACAAATGCAAACACAAGGTACTAATATTTATTTTCACAACAGATCAATAGTTTATCTATATATGTATATATTATGTATAAATGGGTCATTGACAGCATTTTTGTGTCCAAGTCTATTACCCCCCCCACATAATTAAATAAATACATGATATGTATTAAATTACCCAAGAACACCTCTTTCATGTGAAACCGTTCAGTGCATCCATATAAATTTCATTTTAGTTTATTTTTGCTTCCAAAAGTCTAAAAATGTGTAACGGTCCAACCATGTATTTTGATTAAGAAAACATTTTTTTAAATTTAGTTCAGTTACATAAAATACTAAATAAAATAGTTTGGCATGATTTACGTTTGAAAGCTTTAAAATAAAAAACGTTGCAAATTAAGGCAACTTTAAAAGTGCTCGACTCACTGAAAAACTCTCGCAGCACAACCAGCAACAAAGGACTTTTATTCTGACATGCTTGTATGAAAGAGGGGCCAGGGTATTGCGTCATAAAAAAGATGCTGAGTTCATGGTCCAAAGCCAAGTTCACAGATTTAGTAAAAATATGATTTTGAGTCATGGTCAGAACGATTCAGATTACTGTGTTGGGTGGTCTGACCTCAGGAGAACCATGAACATGTGGCATTACTATAATAATGATTATTCAATTGAAAATAAGTATAAACTCAAGTTGAAGGACAGAGGTTTCTACGGGTGTCTAATTTGAAATTAGTCAGGTGACACAACAGGTAGGCCAAATATATACAAGCGAGTGTGAAAATTAAACTCAAAAGTTTGGACACTCCTGGTTAAATGTGGTTTGTTAATGTGAAAATTCTACAGAGAATACACCCAAATACGATAATTCTCAGCAAATTTAGTGCAGAGTTTCTATTCATTTAACACAATGGAAAAAATAATGTATAAGATGTCCCACAATGTTTGGCCAAACCGTATGTTATGTTTTTTCCCCCTCAAAATTTAAATTAAGTAAATAAACAGTAACTGTGTATAAAATTTATGTGTTAATATAAAATCAAACTTTTGTTTTTGTTTAGATGGTTTATATACATACACACACACACACACACACACACACACACACACACACACACACACACACACATTACGTTGGTACGTGTACGTGGTTGGTATAGTGTAGTGCAGGTGTCTTTAATTAAAATTCAGTAAGGTCCAGTTAGAGAAAGCTCAGATCTGATTGGCTGAGTAGCGTCATGTGTGATATTTACAGTGCATGCGATTGGTCTGTGAGTCTCCCGGGCCGCTAAAGCTACCATAAAGGCTAGAAAAGCTACGCTGATTAAAATAGGACCACCCTGTCGAAATGAAATAATTCTCCACAGTTTATCGGTTATAGGTTCAGGTCCGCATAGGACAGCATGTGGGTCTGGACTTGGACCACAGTCTGCCTATTAGTGACCTCTGGTGTAGAGGGTGACACCTCTGATTTCTATGCTGTAGACTGGGGTTCAATGCCCCGCCTGGGTATGCACCTGACAGTATACCAATAAGGGTCCTTGGGCAAGACTCCTAACACTACCTTCACCTACCTGTGTAAAATGATCAAACTGTAATGCCATAAATATAAATATATAAATACACTGAGATTTTTTTATGACAGTGAACAAAATTCTAAAGATAAGAACAAAGAGTATGTGTAATTTTCTTTCTGTAAAAGTGAACTTTTACTGTAGAAACAAATATCAAAAAACATCATTTAGGCATCAGCATCAGCTAATGTATCAGTACTGGGGCTGAAAAATGAGACAGCAGCTCACAGTACATATGAACACAGCAGTATGTGCGGATATATGACCAGCTGCACTATAATGTAACACATACAATTCATATGACTCACATATAGTGACCTCATCAAGATAAGACAATGTTAAACTAACAAAAACAAAAAACAATCTCCTCTGAGGGCGTTTCCATACTGGCGTGAGGTCAGAGGGTACATTTCTGAAATTCCAGGATGACGTCACGGATGAGAGGGTTCAATGGAAAAGCCGTGCAGGATGAGCTCAGCACCACCCGCACACACACACACACACACACACACACACACACACACACAATCCTACAATGTAGCGTGATTGTGCGACGCTGCTGACACAAAACAGTACCGCATGAAGTAATCCGATCACTGATCACACCTCGTTTATCTTCTCACTCCCAGAAACGGAGTGATGATGCGTTCAGAGGAAATCCTTAAAACACACTTTCACTTTCTGAATGAGCTGCAAGGACACACTCACGAGAAGCTCACCATCGCTTCCGCTCACTGGCCACTTTATTGGAAAAAACAACCTTGTACTTCCACGAACTGGCCACTTTATTAGAAACACCAACCTTGTACATTTACAAACTGGCCACTTTATTGGAAACACCAACCTTGTACTTCAACTAACTGGCCATTTTGTTGTAAACACCAACCTTATACTTTTACAAATTGGCCACTTTATTGGAAACACCAACCTTGTACTTCCTCCAACTGGCCACTTTATTGGAAACATCAACCTTGGGCTTCCACTAACTGGCTACTTTATCTGAAACACCTACCTGCAACTTCCACTCACTGGTCACTTTTCTAGAAACACCTACTTTTTGCTTCCAATGCGTGTGTGTGTGTGTGTGTGTGTGTGTGTGTGTGTGCGCGCGTGTGTGTGTGTGTGTGTGTGTGCGTGCAATTGCGACTGCAGGAGCCCACAGAGAGCTGAAGGCTGGAACACACTGAGCCTTTTCACACCTTGTTCAAACCACAGTGTGGGGTTTTGTGACTACGTGTCTGTTTCAGTTGGTTTTACACTGTAACAGTTAAAGCACATCACATCATCCACGCAGAGGTTGACTGATCAGGAAGAGCTCACTTTCACATCTCTCTCTCTCTCTCTCTCTCACACACACACACACACACACACACACACACACACACACACACACACACACACATCAGCCATAATACTAAAACCATCTCATCACCCTGTTCTTCAGTGGTCAGGACCCCCATGGACCCTCACAGAGCAGGTACTATTTGGGTGGTGGATCATTCTCAGCACTGCAGTAACACTGACGTGGTGGCGGTGTGTTAGTGTGTGTTGTGCTGGTCTGAGTGGATCAGACACAGCAGTGCTGCTGGAGTTTTTAAACACCTCAGTGTCACTGCTGGACTGAGAATAGTCCACCAACCAAAAATATCCAGCCAACAGCGTCCTGTGGGCAGCATCCTGTGACCACTGATGAAGGACTAGAGGATGACCAACACAAACTGTGCAGCAGCAGATGAGCTATCGTCTCTGACTTTACATCTACAAGGGGGACTGACAAGGTAGGAGTGTCTGATAGAGTGGACAGTGAGTGGACAGTGTCCAATCCACTCAACAGTGAGTGAAGGTACAAGGATGAGTGTATAAAATCCAACAAGTAAATGCTATTCGTTCAAGATTGATATGTTTTCTCCTGGAGGCATCCAGGAAAAACCTGGACTGGAACCAGACTTCTAATTCTTGTTATTTCCAATTGTATTTATGCTTATTTGTATTTATTCTAATTATATATGATGATTTTACAAGCATAAACATGCTTACTGCCCGGATAAATGTTTTTTTTTTTGTAATTAAGGTTTTTATTTCCACACTTCAATTAGACAGTAAAACAGTCCCAAACAACAGATACGAAAAAAAGAAATAAATAAAAAATAAATAATTAAAATATAAGATTATGTGACAAGAAATGCAGGTGTGAAAAGTGCCTTCCAGCTAAACATCAAATGCCATATTACACCATAAATTTTCCCATACCTTACTATCTTTTCCATATTGATCAGATATCCTAGTTAACATACATTCATAAGAGGCAGTTTCTATCAACAATCCACCCACTCTT